GGCCCAGTCCCTGTGCCGACTCAGAGTCTTACTCTGCCACATCCTCCTCATCTGTAAAATGGGTGAGCTAGAATTAGAGGAAGACACCCTGTTCCTCAGGGCAAGGGCCATAAACATTCTGGCTCCATAACTGGGGTTAGGGTCTTCTTTCTGAGCTTCAGTTTCCTCACCTGTAAATTTAGAGCAAAAGAACTAGGTCAAAAGAGCTATTTCATTCAATGAATAAATATGCAAGGAACAGCCAGGAGGCCAATGTGGCTGCAGAAAGTGAGCAAGTAAGTGGGAGGTGGGAAGAGAGGAGAGGGAAAGGTGAAGGGGGCCACACTTAGGACTTTGGCTTTTACTTTGAAGATGGGAGCCATAGAGGGACCTAGGCAGAGGAGGGATGTGAGTTGACACAGGTGTTCACAAGGGCACTTGGCCTGTTGTGGGGAAAACAGACTATGACGTTGAGGGCAGAGCTAAAAGACCTAGGAGGAGGCAATTGCACTGGTCCAGATGAGGGAAGACGGAAACTGGACCCCTTGGGGGCCTTGGGAGGGGAGAGAAATGGGAGGATTCTGGATTAGTATAATTTCTCCTCCTCCTTCTCCTTATTTCCGTTAACAACCCCCCCACCCCCACCCCCCAGAGCCGCCCAAAGGAAAAAGGGAAAGAGAAAACATTGTGCCCTGGTCTCTGGGACAACGCAAACCACGCACAACCGTGAGTCACCAAGGAGCCAGCGGCTCTCTGCACTTTGCGGGGTCCCAGGAGGGCGCCAGAGTGCAGGCACCGCCGCAAGGGAGCGCTTCCCGCCCCGCGCCCCAGGGACTGCGGTTTAGTCCAGTCGCCGAATTGAAAGGGAGTGTGAGGTGGGCCACGAGCCAAGCTGCACTCTCCAGAGACTCTCGGAGACCCTGGAGAGTCTCCGCAGAGGCCTCCACCCTCCACCTCCGCTTGGGCACGAGTCTGCATTTATGGATCGCTATTTGCATACAGCAGCCCAAAGAAGAGGCTGATCTCCATTTTACAGCGGGGTAAACTGAGGCTCAGCAGCCACAGGATCCATATGGCTCACAGCGAGTCAGTGATGGAGTTGCTATTCAACCCCCTTTTCATAACAACGGCAATAACAAAAATAACAGCTAACGCTGATCAAGCGCTTACTGTATCAAACGCTAGGTCCGCACTATCTTATTTAAGCAACACCCGAGGGGTGGGTGGGTAAATTGTTTCACAGACAAGGCGCTCTTAGGGGTTTGAGGCTGCCCCCAAGGCATGGGGCCTGGGATTTGAACCCAGCTCTGCCCAGAGCTCGTGTGTAGGCAACAGTGGAGTTCCCGTGCCCTTGAACCAGGGCCGCGTAGGCCGAATGGCTCTAAGAGGCCTGAGTTTCCAAATACAGAGAGATGAATTGGTTTTAGAGGGGTCCCAAGAAGCCCAAAGCCCTCCGCTACTCCGTTTTAACGGGTTTCACTCTTTTCGGGTTCCCGCGCTCTCAAATGGGGTACCCCTGGGCAGACTGCGGATCCAGAAGGGCACGGGGAGCAAACGAAGTACTGGTGGCTGCGGAAAGGGGACGCCGGGCAGGCGGGACCCCGCAGCCCCGGGGGCCGCTGGGAGACCCGCCCCTTGGCCCCGCCCCCTCCCCGGGCGCCGACCTCGGCGGTCACGTGACGGGCCCGGCGGCCGCTGGGGCCGGAGGGCGAGGCGCGCGGGCGCGGCGGCCTGGCCAGGCAGGGTCGGAGCCGAGCAGGCCGGAGCAGCCCGCACGCCGGGCCTGGGTCTCGCAGTGCCCGCCCCCTTCCCGCCCTCCACGCCCCAAACTGGGCGCACGCGCGTTCTTCCAGCCGCCCCTCCCTCCGCACGGGGACCCCTGGCGGGCGGCGAGAGGACATGGCCAGCGACGCTGTGCAGGTAGGTGCACCTGCGTCCGCAGCGCCCCATGGCCGCCCGTCACTGGGGACCCCCGCCCGCGCGCTGACGGGGCCCCTCGAGGCCAGGGCGGGGGGCCTCCCAAGCGCCCTGTGCTCCCTCCCTGGGCCGGCACCGTGGAGCCCCTTCACAGCCCCCTTCTCGGCAGGTGGAGGTACTAAAGGCGGGGAGGTCCCAGAAGCCCCCGCCGCACCCTCAAGCTCCGCCCCTCCCCGAGAATTCAAGGGGCGCCGCGGAGGCCCGACTTCTGTTGTCAGGCTGGCTGTGCGTCCCGGTGCCTGTTGCCCCCGCCACTGCCCCCCCCCCAGCGTTCGGTTCCCGGCAGGTGCCGTTCCACCTGGTGCAGGTGCCTGGCACAGTGCCTCAGGAGGCGAGGAGGCCGCCCGGCCCGTGCCCTTCCCCCGCACAACAAAGCTCCAGCGGTCCCCGCCTCCGGACTGAGCTTTATGAGGGTCCCGACGCCACCCAGATTGGCACCTGTTGGCGGAAGTGCCCGAGTCACCTCATTAGGTCTAGGGACCGGGGATCCACACGGCCACCCTCCGGGCTGTCAGGTGGAATCTGATCCCAGGTGGGGAGTGTCTGGGTCAATAGGCTGGGGATTCTCTCATACCTGGACTCCTACCTGGGCATGGGTGGCACGCGGGTCAGTCCACCACCACCACACACATATACACACACAGAGGCACAGGTGACTGGTGCAAACCTGCTGCCTAGCCAGATTCTCCCTTGTTGACATCACAGCCCTGGACTCATCTTCCCCAGCTATGACAAGCAGGGCTAGGGTGACTTCTGACCTTCTTTGGTTCAGTGACCCAAATCTGATAAATGTCCTGTGCCCACTTAGTGCCTCACTGTCCCTCCATTGTCCTGTGGTGCTGTATAACCGGGATCTCATCTCCTTCTGCACCTGCTCTCCATCCTCTCTGTCTCCCCCATGTCCCCCTGTACCCCACCCCAGTCCTGCTGATGGCCTGCCAGCCTTGCCGAGGAGCTGGGCGTATCTGGTGTTGCAGATCACACAAGGTCAGACCTTGGGGCTGGGGAGGGCCAGGGTTCCTTTCTCTCCCCCCAGCCGTGGGAGGGCTTTGTAGGAATCCCCCCGTGCATGCATGTGCTTGGTGTGTACCAGACCTGACCCAGATGGAGGCTGTGATTCCTGGAACGAGGCTGGACCTGTGCCCTGGTTCTCCTTCCCATCTCGTCCCCTCTTCCCTCACTCCACCCCCTCCTGGTCATTCCTTTCTTGTGGCTGCTTGGGCTTGCCACTCTGTCCCTGTGTCCCAACGTGTGCCTGTCTGTTCTGTGTCCGGCAAACGGATGTCCTGTCCAGATTCCGGAAACGCCCAAAGCATTGAAATCTCTGGACATGGGGGTCTAGGTCCCTGGCTGCTCTTGGAAGAGGGGGATTCTGGGAGGTGGGTCCTCTGAGTCTGGGGTCTCCTGCTCCACAGTGAGAAGTAGGGGAGCAGGGATTCTCCAACAGTGGGCCAGGCCCCTGATTCATAGGTTCATCCTGCTGGCCCACTGGTGACCCCTGTCCCCCGGGATAGGAGTGAGCCACCCTAGGGAAGAAAACCCAGGAGGCCAGGCCTCCCTCCATCCTGTGCTTGGCATATTCTCAGGCCTCAGCTACTAGAGATGCAGCCAAAGACGCCTGCTCCTCCTCTCTGCCTGGATCCCCATTTGAGTGGGCCCTACTCCTGGCTGTACCCCTGCTCTGCCTGCTGGAGACAGGGTGGGGCTGAGCAGTGGGCAGTGCCTGGTTGGGAGTGAGTAGTATTAGAGGATCCTGGGTTTAAATTCTAGCCCTGTCACTTACCCACTGTGTGTCCTGGGCCAGGTGCCTTTGCCTCTCTGAGCCTCAGTTCTGACATAAAAAAAAAAAAGGGACTAAGAGGGTGTTCATGGTTGGGGGAGATGTAGATCTGGCAAGCACTCTGCAGGCAGAGCTGCTATGAAATCCTTACTGGTAGTCATGGTCAGCAGCCTAGCGTGTCAGTTTGTGTCCTTTAACCCAGGGTTTCTCAGCATTATTGACATTCAGGGCTGAATCAGTCTTTGAGGTGGCGACTGTCCTGTGCACTGTAGGTTTTTGAGCAGCATCCCTGGTCTCAACCCACTAGAAGCCAATAGCACCCCTCCCCACCCCCAGCTGTGACAACAAAAAATGCTCCCAGAGGTGGGCAGGCATTGAAAATTGCTTCTTTCACCTCTCTGAGCCTCAGTTTCCTCACCTGTAAAGCAAGGGAGAGTAATGGCAACTGCTCAGAATTAAAGTGAGGTGTTGGCAGGATTGTAGAAGGTGAGGCCCTTGGCCTGTAGTAAACCCTCCCTGGGGGCAGCTGCCCTCAAGGTTGGTCAGGAGCCAAGGAAGACTTACTTCATCTGTGAAATGGGTTCTTGCAATGTGAGGAGAGGCACCTGACAACCTAGCCTGCACTGGGATCCTGGACACTCCTGTTTAAATCCTGGTTCTGCCTCTTGCTGGCTGTGGGACCTTGGGGCAAGTTATGTCACTGTTCTGGGCCTCAGTTTCTTCATCTTGAAAATGGGGTGATAATAGCACTCACCTCATTGACTTCATTAGTTGACCTGGGTGCAGTTTCTAGTAACTGCTGTTATTACTAGTCATACTTGAGGTTTAGAGGGCTGCTGGTTTGGGGGTACCCTCACCCACCTCTCCATTACTGTCTTCTCATGGTGTGGGCCTCAGGGAGGTGTCCCTAGCCCAGCCAGGCACCCTAGGCCCCCAAGCTGTGGTCAGCAGCAGTGGCACCCAGAGAGGAAGCCGGAAGTTGGGTCGGCCTGCGTCTGCAGGCAGGGGGCTGGCCCATGTAAACACTCCTGGGTATTTGCCTATTGGTGTACACACCTGTGTTCTGTGCACACGCTTGTAGATACATGAGAGTGTGGGTACCTCTGAGTCAGCCCCAGGAGCTTGTATACACTTGGGGGAGCTTGCCCTCAAGTCCACTCAGACGGAGGCTTAAGGGAAATGTCCCCTAGATGCCCGAGAGCCCTGGAGCTGGCCTGGCGCAGGGGTTGCTGGGAACTAGCAGGAAAGAGGAAGTGGCGGGTGAGAGGCCCTGGCAGGGCTGAGGTTCAGGAAGAGGGCGGGGTCCTCAGTCGGGACCCAGGATGGCGGAGGCTGATCCCCCTTTGGACCAGGAGCTGGAGGTGGGGGCTGGGGTCCCCATGGGGGGAGGGCAGTAGGATCCCAAGCGGCACAGGCCAGAGTCCTCCCCTCGGAACCCCTCAGTTTTGGACGGAAGGGAGGAGATGGGTTGGAGTTTTTTGTTTGGAAGATGAAACTATCTGTGGCTCTTTGGGGCTCCCACGTCTGGGAAATAGAGGAGGGAGGGAGAACTCTGCTCCTTAGGGTCCCATTTTAGAGGATGAGAGGAGGGGAGACAGGGTCTGTCCCCGGGACCTCCTAGATTGGGGGTACAGCAGGAGAAAGATTGGGCCTGTCCCTGAGACCTCCCGGTTTGGGTGTAGCACAGGGACGATGAGGCCTGCCCTCAGCACCTACTAGTTTGAGGCACAGCAATGAGGAGAAGGCATCTGTTCTCAGGATGCTAACCCCGTAGTTTTGGGGGCATCAGAGGCCTGCCCTTGATACTTCCTTGTTTGGGGAGCAGCAGAGGGAATATGGGGCCTGCCCTTGGTACCTCCTAGTCTTGGAGGGGACAGCAGAGGGAAGAAGGGGTCTGCCCTCAGTACCTTATTAGAGAAGGGGTCAATCGAAGGGAGACAAGGGCCCATCCTTGGGAACCCCTAGTTTGGGGGGACAGTGGAAGGGAGACAGGGCCTATCCTAGGGAACACCCCTAGTTTGAGGGACACAATGGTGGGACAATGGGGCCTGTTCTCCAGAATCCCACTGTGTAAGAAACAGATGAAGGGAGGCAAGACTTACCTATGGGATCCCTGAGTCTGAGGGACAGGGCCATGTCTCACCAACCGGTTTTGGGGGTCAGTGGACATGGAGCAGCTCCTCTCTCAGGAGTCCCAGGCCAGGAGGAGGCCAGGCCTGCCTGGCCGAGTGCAGTCTGCATCTCCTGTCCTCTTGACCGTGCTCTGTCCCCTGCAGAGCGAGCCCCGCAGCTGGTCCTTGTTGGAGCAGCTGGGCCTGGCGGGCGCAGACCTGGCGGCCCCCGGGGTGCAACAGCAGCTGGAGCTGGAGCGGGAGCGACTTCGGCGAGAGATCCGCAAGGAGCTGAAGCTGAAGGAGGGGGCTGAGAACCTGCGTCGGGCTACCACTGACCTGGGCCGCAGCCTGGGGCCGGTGGAACTGCTGCTGCGTGGCTCCTCCCGCCGGCTCGACTTGCTGCACCAGCAGCTGCAGGAGCTGCATGCCCACGTGGTGCTGCCCGACCCTGCGGCCACTGCCCACGGTGAGCAGGGCCTTCCCCGGGGGAGGTGAGACTTCAGGGATGCCACTGCCAGGGGCTCACCCGCGGACTCCCAGAACGAGGCCAACCCTGTTTCCACTGATCCCCAGGGAGACACGCTCAGTCATGACAGCCTGTAGTCTCAAAATACAACTGCAGCAAATGTCAAAGCCAACACCAAGAGAAAGGTATACATGGTTACACCAATACTCAATACCCAGACAACATCCAGAGACTGAGTGTCACACAAATACCCAGACACACACAGTCACACCAATACCTGGACAACACCAAAGGACCTACACTGTCACACCAATATCTAGACTCACACATTTGCACCAATACCCAGATAACACCCAAGGTCCTAGACACTATCATGTGAATACCCAGAGACTCAAGTCACCACAACACCCAGAGACGTCCATACTGCCACCTAGCACCTAGAGAAATCCACAGTCACACCAATACACAGACAGCACCCAGAGAGACTCTCACACATTGTCACACTAACCCCCAGAGATTTACACACACGCAACTGCCCAGCTCTTCCAGATATACTCCACCCCATCAACAGCCAGAGACTTATACCCACAATGAGACAAGGCCTGAAGATTCAGATAACCCTTATACCAACACCCAGCCCTTCCATACACATAGGCATATCAACAGCTAGAGACCCTCACGGCCATGTCAATACTCTGAGACAGAGTTCAGCCAACACCTAGAATCTCATACAGTCATATCTACACCTGGAGTCGCCTCCATAGTCACACCACTCACCAGAGTCACAGAGTCATGCCGGCATCCAGAGACATAAACATCTGCCTGTACCCACACCCAGACACTCAGATACAGTCACACCAGTGCTTGAGATCTGAACACATAGTTGTGTCAACAGTTGGAAACGCATGCATAGCGTTGCCCCAGCACCCAGAATCTTACACAGTCCTTCTAACACCTGGCATCTCACATAGTTACACAAGCACCTAGGGAGACACACACGCGCTTTGCCATGCCAACCCCCTGTGGGTTACCAATATAACCACACCCACACCCATGAACTCCACACAAGAATTATGGGCTTCTGTCTATAGTCCTACGAACACCAAGGACTCACACACATCTGGACACTTGCCCATGCCCATTCATGCTGGTCCCACCCCAGCCCTGAGGGAGTTCCCTGTGAGGGTAAGAGTGGTTGGACCTTTGGGACCCTGGCCTAGGGGCAGAATCCAGGCTGGGCAGAGGGCAGATCCTCTCAGCTGGGCCAAACCTCCTGGGCAGATGGAGCGGAGGGCCCTGGTGACTCTGTCCCACCCACCCTCTCCAGATGCCCCCAAGTTCTCCAGTGAGAGTGGCCCAGCCTGCTCGGCCACAAACTTGAGCCGCGTGGCTGGCCTGGAGAAGCAGCTGGCCATTGAACTGAAGGTGAAGCAGGGGGCGGAAAACATGATCCAGACGTACAGCAATGGCAGCACCAAGGTGGGAGCACATGCAGGCACGCCTGTGAGTGGGTCATGAGCAGGGGGCGGGGGAAGATGGCTGACAGGTGGTTGGGAGGCAGGGCTGGGATGTGGGTAGCTCCTGGGGGTGTATGGGCAACAGGGTGACTGGGTGATGTCAGACAGACATGGCAGAGACTGTCTCCCCACACGTAGTTGTCCCCTGGAGACTTAAGGGCATCTACGGGCAGGGCAACATGCAGCCACTCATTGCTGGTGGCATCTCTCTGACACACATCAACACAGTCATTAAATTCACACCTGAAGATTGGAGCTGTCACGTGGACACCCACCCCCAGTCATACCACCACCAGGGATGTCACAGGTCTGCACCAGCACCCAGAGATGCTCACACAGACAAGCACAGGCAGACCTGCTGCTAGAGATACTTTCTCACACACTGTTGGAAGAGCACCCATGCTCGTGTGCGTGCACAAATACGACTATTACATGTGACGACACAGAACACGCAGATTATTTTATTCGACCTTTTATTGAGCTGTAACATACAGACAACGTGCAGAAAACGTAAGTGTACAGCCCAATGAATTTTTACCTATGTACACACCACCCCCATCAGAATCCAGAACTTTTCCAGTCACCCAGAAAGTTCCCTTCTGTCCTCCTCAGTCAATACCCAGGCTTCCGTCACCACAGGTTAGCTTTGTCTGGTTTTGAAACACGGCACAAAGTAAATGTCAAAATCCCCAACCAGTTTCCAGTACTTGTGCATACACGGGGTCCTGGGCCGTGCCCAGTCATTGCCATACCTTGAACTGCACACAGAAACATTTGGAGCAGGGGGCGGGGAACGTGATCCAGACATATAGCAGCACCACGGTGAGAGCACACGGAGGCACCTCCACATGCATGCACGGCCATGCACACTTACAGCAGACTGTCTCACACAGCCACCCAGTCACCCTTGGAGTCTTACCCATGTGGCTACAATCAGGGCTACACCTGCCACGGGGACCACTCACCAATGTGCATGTCCTGCTGACAGTTGAGGTGAATACAGTGCTTGCTGGTGCCAGTCATGGCCCTGAGCAGATCAGCTTCTTTAATTAGGGTCGGTGCTTGTAGTACCCATCCCATTCCTGCAGACTGAAGAAATAAGCCCATAGAGTTTGAGCGGCTTGCCTGAAGTCACATAGCTGTGGCAGAGCAAGAATTCAAGGATTCAAGCAAGGATATATCACCCCTCTACATCCAGGAACACAGATACAAACACTGTTACACGGTCGCCCAGGGCCTGCAGGGTGTGGACATCGGGGCTAGTGGCGGGACCCCAGCCATCCCATTATGGTCCATCTCTGCCTCCAGGACCGCAAGCTGCTGCTGACAGCCCAGCAGATGCTACAGGACAGTAAGACCAAAATTGACATCATCCGCATGCAGCTCCGCCGGGCACTGCAGGCCTGCCAGCTGGAAAGCCAAGCAGCCCCAGATGAGGCCCAAGGTGAGCCCCTCACTCTGAGACAGCCTAGCCTGCATTCCGTCTTGCAGAGCTCAGCTCTGTCGGGGGGATCCCTTTCTGGGGCAGGGAGGTGGGTGCTGTGACTAACTCTGTGACTGGAACCTATTCCCACCCCTCTCTGGGCCTCAGTTTTCCAATTTCTCCCACTCAAGTTTTGCACTAGGTCAGGTATTGGCAAACTACAGCCCACAGGCCAAACCTGTTGCTGCCTTTTTTTTTTTGTAAATAAAGTTTTATTGGCACACAGCCATGCCTATTTACTATCATCTAAAGCCGATTTAAACTGGGATAGCGGAGCTGAGTAGTGGCAACAGAGCCTGTGTGGTCTGCAAAGCCAAAAATTTACTCCCTGGCTCTTTATAGAAAAAAATTGCTGACACCTGGACTAAGTGGTTGCTTTGTCATGTTGGCTCCAGTTGTATAGAACCATGGGTGTCCACAGTGTGTGTGTCTCTGTATGAATGCCTGGGAGTGTCTCAACCCAACTGACAACCTGAATTTGTGACTGGGTCTTGATGTATTGTGTGCAGGTGTGACTGTGTCTGTCCTACTGATGTCAGTATTAATGTGACATTGACTGTGGGGACCAGCAGTTGTGTGTATGCCCTGGTAACTATGATAGTTTCTGTGTTACCATGACAGAGGAGTGTCAGCTGTTGGTGGGTGTTAGGGTGTTTGGGCTGCTATGACAGCACCATAGACTTATAAACAATAGAAATGTATTGCTCGCAGTTTTGGATGCTGGAAGTCCAAGATCAAGGCACTGGCAGTTCCAGTGTCTGGTGCGGCTCACGTCCTGGTTCATAGACCATCTGTGTCTTCTCACTGTCCTCATGTGGCGAAAGGGGTGAGGGCACTCTCGGGCATCTCTTTTATAAGGGCACTAAACCCATTCATGAGGGCTCCACCTTTGTGATCAAATCACCTCCCAAAGGTCCCACCTCCCAATACCCTCACATTGGGGGTTGGGTTTCAGCATGAATTTTGGGGGGACACAAACATTCAGACCATAGCAGTGAGGCTTGTAACTTGGATGACAATGTGTATGTCTTTGGGAGGGAAATGTCAGTGTGACTGTCCATGTGATTGTCTGTATTGGGAATACCCTGTGGGTTTCTCAGTGATGGCGTGTGATGGTATGATCACATCCATGTGCCTTGGGGTGATATCATGACCTTGGGGGTGGTGTGACTGTGTCCCTGTAATGTAAAAGCCTCTGCAATTTGTCTGAGCGCCATGTGACAGCAGGCCTAGAAGCAAGAGTATGACTGTGTAAAATGACACATACCTATGAATATCAGGGTTCCTGTGACACTGTCTGTGTTACTGGTGTCCAGGTGAGTGCCTTACACCTGTAGGGGATAGCATGACTCTCTGTGACTGAAGGCCAGAGTCTGAGTCTGGGTCATTATTCAGGACAGTGAGACTCTCCCTGGAACCTACAGCCATCCATAAGTGTGACCATGACCTTGTGCCTCTGGGTGACAGGTTTCCTACACCTGTTTGACATTATGTCCTTATACCTGTCCCTGTGCCATTGCGTGACTGGCTGTGTCTTGTGTCAGGCTATGATTGTGTTCCTGTGACTTCACACTGGGTGTGACAGCCAGCCTAGTTCCCTTTGACATTGGGTCTTCATGCCTGTGGGTATTGGTGACACTGCCCTGCCTGTGTGACAGCATGATGGTATTTCTTTGCCTGTCTCTATGCTTTATCTATGTGGCAGTGTGATTACGTTCCTGTGATTCTCCCCGGGCTAGAGTTAAAGTCCTGGGAGTTCTGCCATGGTGTAACTTGTCCCATAAGGGTGTTTATGTCTTGTGATCATGTCCCTCTGCCTCTGTGACAGTGTCCCTTTGCTGGAGGAAATTGGGTTATTTCTAGCCTTTTACTCTTAGAAAGAAGGCTGCCATGAATAACTATATACATATGTCAACTGCAGAGGTGTTTGTATGGGATACAATCCCAGAATTGGGATTGCTGGATCAAAGGGTAAATACATTTGTGATTTTGATAGATATGGTCAAACTGCCTCCATTAGAAGGCAACTTGTATTCCCATCAGCAATGAATAAAAGTTACTTAAAACAAAAAAAGTGCCCCTGTGTCTGTGTGACTGTATCCTTGTGGCTGTCCAATTGCCCATGGTGTCCCTGTGACAGTCACTGGGTGTAAAGTGGAACCCTGACAACATGTCTGCCTCTAAACCTGTGTTGACAGCCTGTGTGTATGACATGACTGCCCTGGGGTGACAGTCTGTGTCCCTGGGACCATCCCTGTGGGCGCAGTATTTGGATAAAGGACTCTGGGTAGAAGTGTGGCTGTGTTCCTGCAGGTGACACTGTGACTGTGTCACTGTGACCGCCCCTTGGGAGAAAGAAACTTGATGTATGTTGGTGGCGATAGTGTCTGTGGCCAGTGCCCGCTCTTGTGGATGGCTATGTGTCTGGGACTGATTTACTAGGACCTGGGTCCCAGAATGGTCTTACTGCCCCGTACCCCACACCCACAGGGAGTCCGGACTTGGGGGCCATGGAGCTGCGCATTGAAGAGCTGCGGCACCACTTCCGAGTTGAGCACGCGGTGGCAGAGGGCGCCAAGAACGTGCTGCGCCTGCTCAGTGCCGCCAAGGCCCCTGACCGCAAGGCGGTCGGCGAGGTGAGGGGCGGGGCTTGACCAGAAAGGGATGGGTCCTCGGTGGGTGTGGGGGGAGTGCCTTGGCAAAATGTGGGCCGGCCCCATAGAAGGCGGGGATGGGGGGTTGCGGGG